TTATTTGAGAAACAGAGAGACAGACAAGGCATAGAATCTGCTGTTTCACCTCCCAGTTGCCTGGGAATCAGGAACTTTATCCAGATCTCCCATGTGGGTGGTAGGGACCCAAGCACTTGAACTTCCCAGAGTGCGCATTACCAGGAAACTGGAGTCAGGAGCATAGCTGGGGATGGAACCTGGATATTTTGATATGGGATATGGGTGCTCCAGTTGGCCTCCTCACCACCTGCTCACCCCTTGCCTGTTTCTCAATTGTGTTGTTTGTCTTTTTTCATTGTTGAACTGCAACAATTCTTTATATGCTTGTCTTTGGGATACTAAATCCTTATCAGATACATGATTTGCAAATACTTTCTCCTATTCTGTGGATTGTCTTTCACTTTCTTGATATTGTCCTTTGATGCATGAAAGTTTTTAATTTTTTTGAAGTCAAATCCTTATTTTGTTGAACAAGCCATAATTTTAGTGACTCTATAGCTAAATAAAATAAGATTGTTCTTTCTTTTTATTTTTTTTAAGATGTACTTATTTTTCGAAAGGCTGTATGACACAGTTTTTTTAGGGGGGGAAGACAGAGAAAGATCTTCCATTTGCTGGTTCACCTTTAGATTTACAGTCCTCAGGCCCTGATTTATGAGTATGCTGTGGGGTAGACCTCAAGTTTCAGTTTTTCCATTGGTAACCTACCTGTCCTGGCTGCTTTTACTTAAAGACCATCTGTTTCCACCACTTGGCATGTCACCTTTGTTGTGAATGACACCCACCTCTAGTCTGTGCCATTGCTCACTCTGTCCTCCTGCTCCACTATGTGTCCGTTTCTTTCTTTCCCCTCTCTGTTTTGTCCCTTTGCACTTCCAGGTAAAGTTTTCATCAGTTTGTGAAGTTCCTTGGACAATTTTGTTGGGATATTGATTGGGATTGTGGATTTCAATTGTATTGACTTGTAGTGGTTTTTTAAGATCAGTTTGGGGAGAATTGACTTTTGAATAATTCATGAACATGGCATATTCTTCCTTTTGTTTAGATTTTTAATCTCTCAATAATGCTTTATAGTTTTGTGTATGGATCTTGCAAATACTTGTTTAAATTCATTCTTTTTTTTTTTTTTTTTTTTTTTGACAGGCAGAGTGGACAGTGAGAGAGAGAGAGAGAAAGGTCTTCCTTTGCCGTTGGTTCACCCTCCAATGGCCGCCGCGGCTGGCGCTCTGCGGCCGGCGCACCGCGCTGATCCGATGGCAGGAGCCAGGAGCCAGGTGCTTTTCCTGATCTCCCATGGGGTGCAGGGCCCAAGCACCTGGGCCATCCTCCACTGCACTCCCGGGCCACAGCAGAGAGCTGGCCTGGAAGAGGGGCAACCGGGACAGAATCCGGCGCCCCGACCGGGACTAGAACCCGGTGTGCCGGCGCCGCTAGGCGGAGGATTAGCCTAGTGAGCCGCGGCGCCGGCCTAAATTCATTCTTAATTATCATTTTAGTGATAGTGGATTTTTTTTTTACTTAATTTCCCAATTTTTTTGCTGGTTGTGTGTAAGAATGAGATTTATTTTTATATATTGATCTCATTTTCTGCTTATAAGTTCTTCAGTTATTAATTCTAGTAAGATATGCCTGAGGACTTTGTAAACAATCATGTCATCCACAAATAGAGACAGTTTTACTTATTTGCATGTTTTTTTTTTCTTGTCTTATTTCACTGGCTAAGTAGAACTCCAATACACTTTGAATAGAAATAGTGAGAGTGATATTCTTATCTTATTCTTGGTGTTAATGGGGAAGGGAAGATGTCAGTTTTATTCTTATACTCTGTGTGTGTATGTGTGTGCGTTGCTTTTTCTCTTAAATTCCCTTTTCTCTCTATCAATTTTTCCAGGGCTTATTACTTTTAAAAGTGTTTTCAAAGAATGATCATTTGGCTTTTTTGATCCTTTTCATTGTATGTTTTTTCTTGTTTCATTATTTCTGCTTGTTTGTCTTAAATTTTTTGTTTTTATTTTTTAATTATTTTTTTAAGATTGTATTTATTTATTTGATGGGTAAAGTTACAGACAGTGAGAGGGAGAAACAGAGAGAAAGGTCTTCCATCCGTTGGTTCACTCCCCAAATGACCAGAGCTGCACTGATCCGAAGCCAGGTGCCTCTTCCAGGTCTCTCATGTGGGTACAGGGGCCCAAGGACTTGAGCCATCTTCTACTGCTTTCCCAGGCCACAGCAGAGAGCTGGACTACAACCAGCGCCCATATGGGATGCCAGCACTGCAGGCGGAGGATTAATCCACTGTGCCATGGCACCAGCCCCTATTTATTTATTTTTTAAAGATTTATTTGTTTACTTGAAAGGCAGAGTTACAGAGAGGCAGAGGCAGAAAGAGAGAGGTCTTCCATCTGCTGGTTCACTCCCCAAATGACTGCCATGGCCACAGTTGGACCAATCTGAAGCCATGAGCCAGGAGCTGCTTCTGGGTCTCCTATACAGGTGCAGGGACCCAAAGAATTGGGCCATCTAATGCTGTTTTCCCAGGCGATAATAGAGAGCTGGATCAGAAGAGGAGCAGCGAGACTTGAACAGGCACCCATATAGGATTCTGGCACTACCAGCACTACCGCAGTGCTCGCCCCTTCTGATTTTGTTTTTAAAGATTTCTTTATTTGAAAGATGGAGTTACAGCAGGGGAGAAGGAGAGGCAGATAGAGAAGTCTTCCATCCACTGGTTCATTACCCAAATGGGCGCAATGGCTAGGACTGTACCACCAGGCCAAAGCTTCGTCCAGGTCTCCTACCTGGGTGCAGGGGCCCAAGGACTTGGGTCATCTTCTACTGCTTTCTCAGGCCATAGCAGAGAGCGGGATTGGAAATGGAGCAGCCAGGACACGAACTGACCCTGATATGAAATGACAGCTTAACCTGTTATGCTACAGTGCCAGCCCCTCTGTTACTTTTATAAATTTTCTAGGTAGATTCTTAGTAGCCTCTCTTCTTTCCTAACATATGCATTTAAGTCCCCAAGGCAGAACTCTAGCTGTATTCTGTAAGTTTAACATGTAATTCTTACTTATTACTCAATTAAAATATTTTCTAATGTCCATTGTGAACCTTTTGAAGAATATTCCCTACTTGCCAACTTTTTGGTGTTTCCCGCTTTTATTTTTTGTTGTTTCTGGTTTCTTGCATTGTGATCAAAGAACATCTTCTGTCTGATTTCTTGCAAGTCTGAGACTTGCTCTGTGGCCTAGCATACATCAGTTTTGGTAGATATTTTATGCTTATTTGAAATGAAACTGTTTTGTGGTAGTGGGCAGTGTTCTGTCAAGTGTTCATTGGGTCAAGTTTGATAAACTTATTATTTAAATCTTCTGTATCTTTGCTTGGTATTTTACTTGTCATTTTAGAATCATACCTGTGGATTTGTTTTCTTCTTTTATTTCAGGAAATTTTTAAAAGATGTTTGTTTTGATGCAAAAAAATTTTGAAATCCAGACATAATTTTTTCATAATGCACATTTTTAATAAACTCTTTGAAGACCCCTTAAATTTTGTGTGTCTGATAATCTTTCTATTTTAGTTAACACTTGGTCCATTTCCATATAAAGTGATTTCTAATATATCTGGGCTTAGATATTTCTAATATGTTTGGGCTAATATGCATACTATTTGTATTTCATTTGTTCCATGTCATCTGTGTTGATTTTCTTCCTCTTTTTGCTTCCTTCTGTATAGTTTGTTTTATATTGCTCTATCGTCTCTATTCAATTTGTAGTTACACACTCTTTTATTTTTCTTCCAGTGGTTACCCCAGATATTACAATAGACATCCTTTACTTATTAAAACCTAATATAAACAAATACTTTTATTTGTTCTTGGATAGCCTAAACACCCCAGAATGGTGTAACTTCACTGTGCATTCCAGACTCAGATTTTGTTGTTATAACTTTAATTCTTCTGTTATTTGATTCCAACAAAGCATTTTATTGGTTCATAACGTCAGCATGCATTTGTATTTTCTGTTCATTTACAGTTTTGGTTCCTTCTTAGTATTGCCTGCTTCAGTGATCTTCTATCTGGGATTATTTTCCTTGTACCTGAAGACATTCTTCAGCTATTTTCATTAGTATAGCTCTATCATTTGGGGTTTGGATTAGATATATGCAAATCCATGTTCAGATGCTTTTTTCCTGTAGTTTTTCTGATTCTCTCTTGGCTCTTTCTTTAGGTTTTAATCTTTTTATAATTTATTTTTGTAATCTGATGATCAATTCTTTCCTCTCATATGGTTACCTCATATAACGTTTCCCCAGTCTTTCAAACAACCCTGCCAATGTTATTTCTGCCATTTTTACAGCCTTGCTCAAGTTCTCATAGCTGCCAAGCCGCTACAGCTAAATATAGGCCAACATCAAACCCATCCGGTATTTCTTGCTCTTCATTTTATGAGGTTATGTTCCTTTTTCCTACCTGTCTGTCTTTTCATTTGATTTTTGGAGGATAGTTGTTATTGAAAATTGTGTGTATATTGATGAATTATATTAACCTGTCTTAAAATAACATTCTATCATACCACCAATATTTATTAGCTAAACAGAAGTCCATAGATTTATGAGCCAAATATTAGCCCCTTTAAGGAGTTTATTTTCTGCAAAGAAAGAATGTATACAGTTTATTCTACTAGGATATGAAGAGATAGTTTCCATGGATAGAAACAAATAAGAAGGTACTGTCCCAGCTGACAGAATTAAGAAAGCATTCATTGAATAGGTAGAAGTTACCATTGAAGAAATGTCGATGTGAGAGTTTTCAAAAAGTGTATTCAAGGGTAACATATTATTATACATTTATTTGTTAATGCAAATCAAGTAAGTACAAGTGTTTCCTGTGAAAGTTTTCTCCCAACAAATCTACCTGTACAGACTTTGTCACCATTGTAACTTGTCCAGTAAGCAGTGGAGTTTTGTATATCATGATACATTACACACAGTGGCTGACCAGGTCTCTCTTTTTCCAGGTTATTTCATTTCTGGCTGCAGTTTTACATAAAAAGGGAACTCGTGAGGATATTGAAAATAACATGCCAGAGTTTTTACTAAGAAGTATGAAAAAGGAACTCCCTTCTTCTATGACAAAAAAGGTAAAATGTCTGAAAATCCTCGGTTCCTGAAGCTGGCAATGAGAAAGCAGATAGAAACAAAAGTCACACAGTACAGTAAGAGTTATAATGTAAACATATTAGAGTATTAACTTTATCTTTGAAGGGTGATCAATGTTGTGCTTAGGTTAAATTTGGTTGACTCTCAGAATGGCAGAATATAATTTCAGATTGAAGTTGTTTTGGGGTTTTAATCTGCTGCTAGCTGGATTTATATGACTTATGTTGATAAACTTGTTGAATGTCCATGAATGTGTTTGTAACATTAATTGTTTGCTTTTTACTTATGTGAGACAAAAAGGACAGTTATCAATAATGGTAAGAGGGTGCCTTATTAATATGTAAAGTAGCTTAGCAGATAATTATAGCCCCCAAAATGAAGCAAATTCTACCTGCACTCCACAAGGAAGTTGGAATCATCAAGAGTGGTCTGTGCTTGTCTGTGCCTCTACCCTGTGACTGAGCATGCCCTCATGACCCTACTTCAGGGTTCTCCTTCCTGAATGTATGTTTGAAAGAACACAATTTTTACAAAAAATGTAAGATATTTCTAATAAAACAATGGAATGCAATAAAAAAGGTGTGTCATACTTATGTATCTTTTATATTCTCAGCATCCAGGAAGCTGGATAGGAAGGAAGACAAAGTGGTTTTATGGAGTCTTTGTAACGTTATAGTAATGAACTGCTAACCACAAGTTTTTACAGTAGTCTCTTTCGTACATGTCTTATACATATTGACTTCTGTCTATCATAAGGGCCATTTCAGTGCAGAATTTTGAGAGATATGAAATTAGGTATTATAATCGTTATCACTTTAGCGTCTCTTCTTTTTTTTATTATTATTATTTGAGAAAAAGAGAACTCCAATCTATTGGTTCGTTCCTCAAATGCCTGTAACAGCTGGTGTTGGGCTAGGCCAAAGCCAGGAGCCCAGAACTCCATGTGGTTCTCCTACCAGAGTGGCAGGGACCAAATTATTGGCCATCACCCTTACCCCCTCAGGGGCCGCATTAACAGGAAGCTGGAGTCAGGAGCCAGAGCTGAGAACCAAACCCTGGCATCCTGACAAGTGTCTTCACTAGACCAAGGGCCTGTCCTTCTTTTGTTGTTTTTAATAGCTTTCTTTTCTTCGATTCTCATTCTTTCTAAAATACTTTAAATATTTCTAAATATTTGTGTATAGCTTATACAGCTCTTGTAACACATGGACATGCAGGTACAGATTATTTGATGTAATGTTCATTGCTATTATGTTACCTTCTTTAGTTGAATTCTTTTTTTTTTTCCAGATGGCTGCAACAACTAGCACTGGGCTAGGCCGAAGCCTGAAGGAGCTTCTTCCAGGTCTCCCATGTGGGTGGCAGGGGCCCAATGACTTGGGCCATCTTCTACTGCTTTTCCTAGGCCACTAGCAGGGAGCTGGATGGGAAGTGAAGCAGCCAGGACATGAACCAGCACCCATATGGGATACCGGTGTCATAGGTATCCAGCTTTACCTACTACACCACAACAGAGGCCTCTAGCTGAATTCTTAATTAATTTCTCTTCAGTGTTTCTTATATTCTAATAAATTCCACTAAAATTACCAATAAACTGTGCTTTGGCTGCATTCCCTAATTGTTGATATGTAACCTTTTCATTATTCTTTTCCAAATTATCTCTGACTCCAGTTTTGGTTCTCTTTTACCCAAGAACTGTTTTAAAGAGGAGTTTAAAAATTTACAAGTGATAGGGCCAGCACTATGGCGTAGTGGGTAAAGCTGCCACCTGCAGTGCTGGCATCCCATATGGGCACTGGTTCGAGTCCTGACTGCTGCACTTACAATCCAGCTCTCTGCTATGACCTGGGAAAGCAGTGGAAGAAGTCCTTGGGCCCCTGCACCCACGTGGGAGACCTGGAAGAAGCTCCTGGCTCCTGGCTTCAGATAGGCCCAGCTGTGGCCATTGCAGCCGTTTGGGGAGTGAACCAGCAGATGGAAGACCTCTCTCTCTCTTTGTGTCTCAGACTCTCTGTAACTCTCCCTTTCAAATAAATAAATGAATCTTTTAAAAAAATGTACAAGTGAATGGTTATTATTGGGACACCCAGTGATCGAGGGCTTAGTCTTTATTAATGACATAGTTTTCTTGCATCACATAATGCTCATATAGCCTTGAATTTTTCTTGTGGTTAAATCCATGGTCAAGTGTTTTTAATGTTCCGATTTTGTATATTGTGTAATCTCTGTTATTTTAAAATGTCTGCTTATATTTTGCATTCTTTGTTGTTAAGGCCACATATAGTGAAGTTTGTTAATTGCCTTGTTAAAATTCTTAATCCTGTCATGATTTTCTTTTTCCAGTTTGAGCAATTGGATTCTGACAGAATGATATTAAACTTTTCTGCTATGAGTTTGAATTTGATCATTTTTTCTTGATTTGTACTACTTTTTTGCTTTACATCTTCAATTAATTCTTTTCTCAGAAATTTTGTGTGCTCGTATATTGCTTTTATACTTGATTAATTAACTGTTTATCTGCCTAGGATTCTAACATTTTATAGCTTGATTAAAATCCTTTCATTATATTCTGCTACTCCAGATTGTAGATGACAAACTCACTTTTTTCCTTGGCAAGGCAATTTTTTTTTTGGAAATGTTTAGAAGTTACAAAAAAATCCTTGAAATTCAGAATTTTCCCTCAACCTTAACATTCACTGTAGAATTTTTCCAAATAACTTTTGCGTAGAAAAACTGCCCCAGGCTTTCTGTAGAAGTTGGTTGCTGATCTGACATCATCTGCTTCAAAGCAGAACTTCAAAGTAAAGCAGTCCTCTCCGGAAATTACTTGCCCATTACTTTTTTTGACCCAGTCCTTCCTCCTGCCTAGGCTGCTCTGTTGAGATTTGTTGTTCTGCTTTGTTTGTTGTTGTTTTTGGATTCTTTCTAAGAAAACTCACTTGGTAAACCGTTTTCTCCTCCAGACATATAAGAAATAGCTCTGTAGGTAGGGGCATGCTGTGCTATTGTTCTGGTCTGATAGGGGTACCCCCAGGCATTCTAGCACTATTATGAGTTTATTTCTATATTCATTCTCCTGTTTCCTTGGCATCAATACATATATGAGTTTAGTTAGTCACTTAAATTTTTAATGGAATCATTGTGATATGCTACAGTATTTTCCACAAGTAAATTAAAACAAAAAATATAACTTTGATGAAATTTGCAAAAGATAGGTTTATGTTGATCCATTTTTACATCAATGGGCACTTAAAAACTAGATTATGAAATAGCTGGAGAAAAAATAAATTATTTTATAGTTGTTATGCTAATGCCACAATTGCAACAGAACCCTGAAAAATTAATGTTGGAACTCCTTGGAGAAAGCTATTTAACAAATTGAATGTTACAAGTTAAGGAGTGATGGCTTTGAGGTATGTGTGTGTGATGTGATACATCTCACATACATTCGAAAACTTTTCAAGTGTGAGTAAGTCATTTAAGAATGCATGAAATAGATGTTTTGTGCCAAGAAAAAATTCCTGAAGCAAAAGAAACAAACTATGCATTTCAAATATTGATTCTGGGAATGATTCTGTAGATTTATGCCAAGTTTAGTTTGGAATTCATTCTTTATGAAAATGAATCAGTAAATTCATGTATAAAATATTAATACTTGCATAGTTAACACTTTAAAGATTCTATATAAAATTCATAATTAATGCAGGGGAGGCAGGTTTTTCTAACAATCACAATACAAGTATCAGAAGTACTTGCAGTGACAATTGAGCAAAACTATTTTCAGTTATTTTGTTTACTATATTCTAGCTCTTTAGTTTATGATATGTACCAACAAGATTATGTGGTAAGAGATGCTACTGTAAATATCTTTATAGTTAAATTTTGGCAACTTGTGGAACTATAAATATAGGATACATTCTTGGTACTGAAATTGTAAGAGGTACTGAAATAATGGGTATATTCATATTACATTTGGCTAGCTGGAATCAAATTGTCCTTTCAAGAAGTTGTGATAATTTATATTACCACAAATGTTGTATAATTGTGTCTCTTCCGAACTTTTCATCTACCTTAGTAATAAGCATAAATTTTTGTTTGCCTGGCGGATTTAAAAAATTATATCTTTCTTTGACTTGCATTTCAGTATCTTTTCAGATGCTTAAAAGTCATTTTAAAATCAAGTCTTTGTTGTTACTCACAGTTCTTGATTAATAGTCCACACACATATATTCTGGATAATCTTTTGTCCATTGTGTGCTTTGAAAATATCTCTGCCTAGTTTGTCAGAGTCAACTTTTGACATATTTATTGGTTTTAAAATAGTTTTAGGTAATTAATCTCTCTTTATAGCTTCCATGTTTTATATCTGCCTGCAAAAGTCTTTTATACTCTATAATTACAAATAAATTCATCCATGATTCTTTTACAAAGTATATGATTTTATTTGTATCTTTATATTGTTGTAGTTTATTTTGCTGTAATGTCTAGTAATTTGGCTTTATTTTAGCCAATTATCTTAGTGTCATTTATCAAATAAGCTCTTTTTTTCCACAGTAATTTGAAGAGTCACTTTTGTGGAAAATTGAACTCATTTAGATGAGTCTATTCAAAATATTGTTCTGTCCTATTAATTTATTTGTTCATGTCCCTTCCAGTGTTTTAGCTGTATATTTTAATGTTTGATAGGAGTAGTATCGCCTCAGAGTTTCTCAACTTGCTAAAACTAACGTTTCTCAAATTTCTCCTGAAACTCTGTTGACATTCAAAATAGTATTACATTGAATTTGTGGGTTTGTTTAGAAAGAATGGACATCTCTATAATATAAAGACTATATATCCAAGAATAGTCACATAGTTTGCTTCATTTTGTTTCAGGCCTCTTAGAGTTTCTAATTTTTTATATGACGTTATGTCTATTCATTAAAGTTTAGTAAGTATATCTTTTTGGTTGCTATTATAAATAGAATTTTTACTTCATTTTTAAACTGGGAATATTTCATATGTATATAAGCCATGAATATTTTGTAAATTAAAGTTTCTTAATTCTTTTGCTATTCAAGATAATTGTTTTACTATTTCTTTAATCAATTTACTTCTGTTTTCTGCAGATGGTGATAATTTTACTTGCCATTTCTATTCTTCTCTCTTTTATTTACTTCTCTTTTGTAATTGTCAGATTTTATATTTATCAGTTTGGCCTATAATTACTTTGACAGAGTGTTTGTCAAATATTGGCATTATTGGTGTTACCAGAAGGATTTTAAAAGGCTCCTGACCAGAGTAGATTCTAAACTGAAATTCCTGTGTATTGAATAGCAACAGTATACAAGAGGAAGTTATCAAACAGTGCAGTAGGATATAATTAATTAGTTTGAGCATTTTGAAATAGTTAAGGTTAAGATACATGATATATTTTAAAACTTTGGGTTTTTGGGAGCAAAAATTTATTTTATGTTCTGTAATTTTTCTATAAAAGTACAATTTATTTTTCACTTTGTTATGTCACATCTGACCATGTGAAGCCTTTGCTTCAGCTCTGTTGGTCTGCCACTGGTACCTTGCTACTCCTAACTTGGCATTGACATGCATGATTTCACTTGTTAATTCATTCACCAGTTGCAGGCTTTCTATTTTTCTAAGTACTATACTAAGTACTGGAGTTACAGTACTAAATAAGAAAGAGTTCTCGGGGCCAGCACTGTGGCATAGTGGGTTAAACCTCCGCTGGCAGTGTCGGCATTCCATATGGGCACCGGTTCACATCCCGGCTGCTCCACTTCTGACCCAGCTCCCTGCTAATGACCTGGGAAAGCAGTGAAAGATGGCCCAAGGACTTGAGCCCCTGCAGCCACATGGGAGACCTAGAAGAAGCTCCCAGCTCCTGGCTCCGGCCTGGCCCAGCTCCGGCTGTTCCAGCCATTTGGGGAGTGAACAGCATCCCATGTGGGCAATGCTTCTAGTCCTGGCTGCTCTGCTTCCAGTCCAGTTCCCTGTGAATGAGCCTGAGAAAGCAGCAGCAGACGGCCCAAGTACTTGGACTCTTGCTGTCTGTGTAGGATACTTGGGTGAAGCGCCTGGCTTCCACCTGGGGCCAGCCCTGGCCGTTGTTGCCATTTGTGGTGTAAATCAGCAGATGAAAGATGTCTGTCTGTCTGTCTGTCCCCACCCCCACCCCCGTAACTCTGCATTTCAAATAAACAAATCTTTAAAAAATAACAGTAAAAAATAAAAATCTAAGTAAGCCAAAAAGTATTTCTTGAAGGTCTTCTATGTCCAAATATAGTCACTCAGTTGCGTTTGTTCTTATCAACTAACTACATGTCAAGATTAAGGAATAGGACTGTTGATCTTTTGGACTTACTTTAGGGTTCTTTTTCATTTGTTTTTTAAACATCAACTTTTTTTTCTTCTTCTTGTAGATGTTCTTAATAGTCGCCCCTCTGTCTGTCCTCTATAACTGGAAAGATGAATTGGACACCTGGGGATATTTCAGAGTCACTGTTTTACACGGTAACAGAAAGGACAATGAACTGATGCGTATAAAGCAGAGGAAGTGTGAAATTGCACTGACCACTTATGAGACACTACGCTTATGTCTGGATGAACTGAACAGGTAATTGGAGTGGGTGCATTAATAGTCTGCTTACAAGTTGTCTTGATCCCGGTATATCATGATTTCTTTATGAAGTTCTAAATATTATTTGGCTTTATTTAATTTCATTTCAGAATTATCAAAATATAGTTTGTAATGACTTAACCTCTGAGAAGGAAAATCCTGCATCAGGTTTTCCACAGTTTCTTATTCTATTTCTTAAACTCAATAGAGGTACCTCTCCAATATCTGTTAAGAGATATAATTAAGACTTGTCCTAAGTCTCATCTAAGCCTTTAATATGTATCATGCTGCTGAACTAAAAGAGATTTTTCATGAATGATTTTAGTTGTGGCGGAAAATAAATACACACACACACATACACACAGGAGCCATTGTGGCCCACACTGTAAGAGGGAATTGGCCAGGAGACACCAGTGAGGTAAGCAGGCAGCAGAGCAGTAAGTCATGGAGTATTGAAAGTCATTTGAGGCCGGCGCCGCGGCTCACTAGGCTAATCCTCCGCCTTGCGGCGCTGGCACACCGGGTTCTAGTCCCGGTCGGGGCGCCGGATTCTGTCCCGGTTGCCCCTCTTCCAAGCCAGCTCTCTGCTGTGGCCAGGGAGTGCAGTGGAGGATGGCCCAGGTGCTTGGGCCCTGCACCCCATGGGAGACCTGGCTCCTGGCTCCTGCCATCGGATCAGCGCGGTGCGCCGGCCGCAGCGCGCCGGCCGCGGCGGCCATTGGAGGGTGAACCAACGGCAAAGGAAGACCTTTCTCTCTCTCTCTCTCTCTCACTGTCCACTCTGTCTGTCAAAGAACACTAGGAAAAAAAAAAAAAAAAGAAAGTCATTTGAGGGGCCATTGCTATGGCACAGTAGGTTAATCCTCCCTGTGGCACCGGCATCCCATATGGATGCTGATTCAAGTCCCTGCTGCTCCTCTTCAGATCCAGTTCTCTACTACAGCTTGGGAAAACGGTGGAAGATGGCCCAAAGGCTTGGGCTCCTACACCCACATGGGAGACCCGGAAGAGGATCCTGGCTCCTGGCTTCAGATCCTCACAGCTCTGGCCATTGTGGCCATTTGGGGAGTGAACCAGCACGTGGAAGACCTTCCCTTCCCTTCCCTTCCCTTCCCTTCCCTTCCCTTTCCTTCCCTTCCCTTCCCTTCCCTTCCCTCCCCTCCCCTCCCCTCCCCTCCCCTCCCCTCCCTCTCCTTCTTTCTCCCTCCCTCCTTCCCTTCCTTCCTTCCTTCCTTCCATCCATCCATCCATCTTTCTCAGGTAGAGTTACAGACAGTGAGAGAGAGAGACAGAGAGAAAGGTCTTCCTTCTGTTGGTTCACTTCCCAAATGGCCACTATGGCCAGCGCTGTGCTGATCCGAAGCCAGGAGCCAGGTGCTTCTTCCTGGTCTCTCACGTGGATGCAGGGTCCCAAGGACTTGGGCCATCCTTCACTGCCTTCCCGGGCCACAGCAGAGAGCTGGACTGGAAGAGGAGCAACCAGGACAGAATCTGGTGCCCATATGGGATGCTGGCACCGCGGGCAAAGGATTAACCAAGTGAGCCACAGCGCTGGCTTAAAGACCTTTCTGTCTGTAACTCTACCTCTCAAATAAATAAAATAAAATACCAGAAAGTCATTTGGAGCACTTGGGTCTTTATCCTTAGAGCAATACAGTGCTCTGAAGTGTTTCCAGCAGATTATTACTATGATAGAAATGATCAGATTTGCATTTTGTAAGTATCCTAGCTGCTGTATTTACAGACAGAAAGGAGCCAAGTTGAACAGTGAAAGAGCAGTCAAGAAGTTTAAGGCTTGGGGCTGGCACTGTGGCATAACAGGTAAAGCTGACACCTGTAGTGCGAGCAAACCATATGGGCACTGGTTTGAGTCCTGGCTGCTCCACTTCCTATCCAGCTCTCTGCTATGGCCTAGGAAAGCAGTAGAAGGTGGCCCAAGTCCTTGGGCCCCTGCACCCTGGTGGGAGACCTGGAAGAAGCTCCTGGCTCCTGGCTTCAGATCGGCACAGCTCTGGCTATTGCAGCTAAGAGATGGAAGACCTCTCTTTCTGCTTCTCCTCTCTCTGTGTAACTGACTTTCAAGTAAATAAATAAATCTTTTAAAAAAAAAAAAAAAGAGGGGCCGGCGCCGTGGCTCACTTGGTTAATCCTCTGACTGCGGCACTGGCATCCCATATGGGCGCCAGATTCTGTCCTGGTTGCTCCTCTTCCAGTCCAGCTCTCTGCTGTGACCCTGGAAGGCAGTGGAGGATGGCCCAAGTGCTTGGGCCCCTGCATCCGTGTGGGAGACTAGGAGGAAGCACCTGGCTCCTGGCTTCGGATCGGCACAGCGCTGGCCTTAGCAGCCATTTGGGAGTGAACCAACAGAATAAAGACCTTTCTCTCTGTCTCTCTCTCTCACTGTCTGTAACTTTACCTGTCAAATAAAAGAAAGAAAGAAAGAGGGAGGGGGAGGGAGGGAGGGGAGGGGAGGGAAAAAAAAAAGAAAAAAAAAAAAGAAAAGAGGCTTATGGCCTGAGCCCTCTTGTCTCTCAAATTCATATGCTCAGGTTTTCACCTTAGTGCTTTGGAATGTAACCATGTTTAGAGCTGGATCTTTAAAGAAGTGATTAAGTAAGAATGCAGCTGTTTGGGTGGGGCCCTAGTCCAGTATGACTGATACACTTACTGGAAGACAAAGAGACCCAAACACACACACACAGATAAAGGGCATGGGAGAACACGACAAGAAGACCATCATCCATGAGCCAGTGAGAGTGGCCGCAGAAGAAATGGAACCTCCTAAGGCCTTGATTTTGAAATTCTAGCTTCCAGGATTAGGAGAAACTAACTTTGTTGTTTACACCATCCATGGAGTGAGCGTTTTGCCTAGTGGTTAAGAGGCTGCTTGGAACGGCCACATCTCTTATGAGAGTTCCTGGGGTCAAGTCCTGACTCCACCCCTGACTCCAGCCACCTATTAATGCACCCTGTGAAAGGCAGCAGGTGATGGCTCCAGTAATTTGAGTCCCTGCCACCCACACGCGAGACCTGGATGGAGTTCTTGGCTCCCAGCTTTGGCTTGGACCGGCTCCAGCTGTTACAGATATTTGAGGAGTGAACCTTAAGTTTGGAGCTGTCTCTTCTTTCAAATAAAATGAAATTATTTTTTAAAATACAACATATTAAAAGGAAAATGGTGACTTAGTATTAAAATAAATAAATATATCATCCGTTCTATAGTATTTTGTCTTGGAAGCCTTAGAAAACCACAGGTCTGGTCCAAGGAAGCTGGTAGTCAGGCCAGCCTCTTGCTAGTTGTGCCAGCAACAGCAAGGTCCTAGGTAAAGTCATGAACTTAAATCCACTTCTAGCTTAAATTTCTCCCTATAAGGAAACAGTTCATATTTAAGATTGAAGTGTGTCGAGACCAGTGCTGTGGCATAGAGGGTAAAGCTGTCACCTGCACTACCGGCATCCCATATGGGCACCAATCGTAATCCTGGCTGCTCCACTTCAGATCCAGCTCTCTGCTATGGCCAGGGAAAGCAGTGGAAGATGGCCCAAGTCCTTGGGCCCCTGCACCCATGTGGGAGACCCAGAAGAAGCTCCTGGCTCCTGGCTTCGGATCGGCTCAGCTCCAGCCAATGCGGCCATCTGGGGAGTGAACCAGTGATTGGAAGACCTCTGTCTCTACCTCTCTCTGTAACTCTTTCAAGTAAATCTTAAAAAAAAAAAAAAAAAAAAAAAAAAAAAAAAAAGATTGAAGTGTGTCATTAGAAAGAGTTCTTATAAGTCTTTAAAATGTCCAGATATTATAACAGTAGTCTGTTTGACCTTTTCAATGAGGGAATGATATTCCCCAAAATCGGATTAAAATTTAGAATATCAGATTATTTTTAAAGGTGATGCTTTCAAACCAGCATTAAACTTCTTTGGCATAAGCTAAAAATGAAAAACAACAATTATGAGTTGTCTCATAAATTTTCTAAGCACAAGATATGTTGAGTAAAATGTGTGATTAATTAGCCATTGTGTGGCTTTGGGCAAATCTCATCTGGAAAATGGCAGAGGATGAATTAAATCAGCCTCCTCAAATCATTTCATTAAGGTTTAATTTGTGTAGAATAACATATACCTGTTTTAAGTACGTGAGAGTTTGATAAACTTTGACTAAGAGTTAGCAAACTTTTTCTGGAAGACTCAGTAAACATTTTTGAGCTACAGGGCCACATACAGTCTCCCTCACATATTCTGCTTTTTTATTTTTGCGATTTTCGAAAATGTGAAGACTGTTCTTAGCCTGCTGACTACACAGAAATTGCCTCAGGCTAGATTTGGCTCACGGGCTGTTGTTTGCTGATGCCTATGTTTGAGAGAGAGATCCTTGAGCGTAGCACCATCCAGCCAAGGTCTAAAATATTTTTAGCATCCCTGGACTTCCCTCCTACCGCTTTACAATCAGCCCTTCCCCAGTCCTCACCCTCGACAACCTACTTTGATTTCTGTCTCTCCACATTACTGGTTATTTTCTGTTATAAATATTAAGCAAGAATTCTCAAGTGGAATTATGTAACATAGATCATATGTATAATATTCAAGGAATCAATGTTATAATTTTTATTGTATTGTATTCTAATGGCTTCATTTTGACAAATCTTTGAAATAATTTCTATTTTATCTGAGTAAATAGTATTTTAGTGAGACTAGTGCATTGTGCATTTATCCTAGATAATTCAGAGAGTAGATACACATTCTGAGTGAACTACATCTTTTTGTTACCATGTTTTTTATTTCACTTTTATGTTTATCAAAATTATATATACATATGATTTACATATATATGCATATATTCACACACACAAAAATTGTACAAGACTTGTAGTGAAAAACTGCTGTGCACGCCTGCCCTCCCCCTGTTACCTGTGCTTTCAGCCCTTCCTGGTCTTAGTCTTTACCTCTGTGTCTCTAAAGAATAGGTTTACGCTACAATTTAAAATTTTTTCTTTACTTTTAAGCATCACATACTGATTTCTTCTTAAGGAAAAGGAGCGTTTTGCCGTAATTTGCTCCTTCCTTGCTCACTTTAGGAGGACCTGGCACATGTATCTTGGTAAGTAGGACTGTTGGACTCTTCCCTAACTTCAGTTTGCTGAGGTGTCTGGTGCCACCAGTTCCCAGCTGCTGAAGAGCTGACTACACAAGTCAACGTGCTTTTGGACTCTACTGCTGGCGTAGGAGACTGCCTTCCTGCTTCTGGAAGTCGTCTTGTCCACATTCTTTCTAGCTACTGGCGTTTTGTGGCTGATTTTTCTTTCTTGGTTCTCTCCTTGTTCTTGATGGCTTTGACCTTTTCTCCATTTTATGTTAAGAAGATTATGAACTCCATAGAAAAGTTGACATAGTGGCATAAGACCATCCATATATTCACCATCTGGATTCAGCAATTGTATATATACAAGGATGCTTCAGAAGTTCATAGAAAAATGGAATTAGAAGATGGGAGGGTAAAGAAATTTGCAATACATACATAGTTTTTTTCACAGTATACTTTCCCCACAAACTTTTGGAAAGTCCTTTGTATGCAACCAGATATGGTTTATTGATTGTGGCAAATCTATTAATATATGGTGTTAATAGGATAAACTGGGTATGGGATGCATGGGAAGTCTTTGTACTATGTCATAATTTCTGTTTTGTAAATTTGAAACCATTGTGAAATAAAAAGCTTTTAAAAATCATTTATTTGGAAGGTAGAGAGAGAAAAACAAAAGAAAAGAAAAAAGAAAGAAAGATCTCCCATCTGCTGGCTTGCACCCCGTGGAGCAGCCAGGGCCATGCCAGGCTGAAGCTGGGATCTGGGAACTCAGTCCAGGACGCCCACATGGGTGGCCGGAACCCAAGGACTCAAGTCATCATCTGCTGCCTCTTCGGGTGCACATGAGCAGGAAGCTGGAGTTGGGAGGCACAAGGAGGTGAACTCACCCACTCCAGTACAGAATGCAGGCACCCCAAGCAGCATCCTCACTGCGACACCAAAGTCTTGCCCGGTTTGGCTGATTTTATGTTTTTTTCTCTGATTTGTTACTTTTAGACAATTCCTTCATCATCATTTTAGTGATGTTTAAATGAGATTTTTGTTCCATCATCATTAAATATAATCTCTATACCCTTTTGTTTTCTCCATACACTTTTTAGTTTTGTGGGCTGTCCACATCTGTCCCCATTTAACTAACTAGGTCAGACTCTATTGAATCCTCCAAGACTACAGGGTTGGAAAATCCTCCAGAGCTTCGGTCGAGAAAGCTGCCCTCTCAAGCTTCTATGCACTAAGGAAGGAAAGTTTTCTGATGCCCTCCCTCCCCTGCCCGCTTTCCTTGCTCTGCAGTTTGGAGTGGTCTGCCATCATTGTGGATGAGGCTCACAGAATTAAGAACCCCAAGGCCAGAGTGACCGAAGTCATGAAGGCTTTGAAGTGTAACGTCCGCATTGGCCTCACCGGAACCATTCTTCAGAACAACATGAAGGAACTGTGGTGTGTGATGGACTGGTGAGTGGGAAAACATTTGTGTTAAAATTACTTCTTCTTTTTTTTTTTAATTTGAGAGGCAGAATCAGAGAGAGAGGGAGAGGCAGAGAGATCATCCATTTGCTGGTTCATACCCCAAATGACTATAACATCCAGGGCTGGGCCAGGGCGAAACCAGAAGCCAGGAGCTTCCTCCAGGTCTCCCACATGGGTGCAGGGGCCCAAGGACTTGGGCCATCTTCTACTGCTTTCCCAGGCCATTAGCAGGGAGCTGGATTGGAAGTGAAGCTGCTGGATCTCGCAGCAGCACCCATATGGGATGCCGGCATTGCAGACTGTGGCTTAGCCTGCTACACCACAACGGCAGCCTGTACTTAAAACTTCTTTAGCTTAATGCTACCTGGTCTGCTAGTACTGCTTTGTGAATGAAAAAACAATCATTTACCAACTTAGAGTGGTATTTGATGCTAAGTATGGTGTACAGGGTAGAGTCTTAAAAACCTGCCTTTGTAGGTTACTCTTGGTCCTTAAAGTAAATGTTCATGCCAAATTACCAATTCACCATCTCCTAAACCATGAAAAAAGAACTGAAACCATCAAAAAGAAAGAACATTTCAACTTGTTTGCCTGTGTTTTTGTTGTCACTAGTAGACAAATACTCGAGTTAGCATATTTGATGTGAAAAGCAATGATTTTTTTCTTTTTAGATAATAAAACCCTCACATTTTTCTTACTGCGTTTCTAAAGGGCTGTGCCAGGACTTTTAGGTAGTAGGATCCACTTCAAGAAGCAGTTTTCTGACCCAGTGGAACATGGTCAGAGACACACGGCGACAAAAAGGGAGCTCGCTACTGGCCGGAAGGCCATGCGGAGGCTCGCGGGAAGGATGGCGGGCAGCTTCCTCCGGCGGACCAAGACTCTCATCAAGGACCAGCTGCCCAAGAAGGAAGACCGGGTGAGCGCTGCATGACTGCATTCGTGTCCCTGGGTGATTTCGTATCTTTTTTTTTTTTTCTTGAAAACTTCCTTTTTGAGAGGAAGTCTTGTCTCCTGTGGTATGTTGTGAATATCATTTTTTTTTTGCCCTTTACTCTGTGTGGAAAACAAATTATTACATGCAGAATTTCAGAAAACATTAATTGAGCCCTGTTACTGATACCTTATGGGCTTTACTTACTTGTTAGCTGACAGTTTCCTGTTAGTATACACACATCAAGGCTTCTGATGCAGTTCCTCCTCAATGAAGTACTGCCTACCTCCCAGTGTGCTTTGTGCCTTAATTCTAGTTAAAGGACCAAAGTAGTTATTTTTTATAGATTTATTTTTTGTGGAATGCTCTCTACAGTTACATGACTAACCTATATTTTTGTAAGATTTTTTTTTTTTTATTCAAAAGGCAGAGCAACAGAGAGGGAGAGACAGAGAGATTTTCTACTCAGTCGCACTGTAAATGGCCGCAACAGCCAGGTGTGGGGGCAGGCTAAGCCAGGGCCCTGGAACTCCATTCTGGTCTCCAAGAGGATGGCAGCAGCCCAAGCACTTGGGCTGTTATCCGCTGCCTTTCCAGATGCTGGGTTAGGTGCAGGGAGCTGGATCAGAAGCAGAACAGCCAGGAATCAAGCTGGTACTCCAGTCCGGAGTGCTGGCATTGCAGGCAGTCAGCTTAACCGGCTGTGCCACAGCGCTGGCCCCTAACCGTCTGAATTTGTAGGGAAATTGTATTACAGGAAAATTTGAGGTGCTGACTTTAAGAGGGGTTTTAAATATAGTATGGTTGTCTTCTATAGGTTTTGATCTTGTGATTCTTGTAGCTCAGACAATGTCAAGAATCTATAAATTACTGTGAATTAAACCTAATTAATGTCCCAAATGAGAGTACCCTATAAAATGACCTCTAGTCTTAGAATATCCTATTAATTATTACTTCAGAAAAATAGATTTGAAAAGAAGATTATATGGATATGCAAGATGGGGAAATTGATCTGACACATGACTTGATATATATCTAAAGCAAATATTCTGTTGAGATAATTCATGAACTCTCACTTTTTAAGATGTTTTATGCAATTATATATAATTTATATGCAAGAAATTAGTTTATATATCTATTAGGAAAAAGAGAAATATATGAAGAGAGAGTTGTGCTCAGAGGTTTAGCATTCGAACACTGAAATTAAGTACATGGACTCGAATCCTGGCTCCTGTCCTTTTAAGTTTTGTGACCCAGAGTAATTGCTAAGGCTGAGAGACTGTGTTCCTTCATCTGTTGATCGGGATGCATGGTAACGGTGCCTGCCTCACATGATGGGTCTGAATAAGTGCTGGGCTGAGCTGGCGCTGTGGCACAGCAGGTTAAAGCCCCAGCCTGCAGCACTGGCATCCCATATGGTTGCCAGTTCAAGCCCTGGCTACTCCATTTCTGATCCAGCTCCCTGCTACTGTGCCTGGGAAAGCAGCTGAGGATGGGCTCCCACACCCACATGGGAGACCAAGAAGCAGCTCCTGGCTCCTGGCTTTGGATAGGCTCAATTCTGGCCATTGCAACCATTTGGGGAGTGAACCAGCAGACGGAAGACCTCTTTCTCCCTCTCTCTGTAACTCTGTCTTTCAAACAGATTAAAAAAAAAATCTTAAAAAAAAAAAAAAAAACAAGTGCTGGGTGAATGTTGCTGGATTTGATAGGAACAGCCCGCTGATCACTGACTGCTATCTTCTGTCTTCCCTTCTGGTTCTCACATGGGCAGTTATATTCAAGGTTGGCATCAAGATACACTTCGTGTTTCACACATACTTTTTTTTTTGAATCCAGCATTGTTTTTTATTGACATCTGTATATTTGCATGTGCATTTATTACTTTTTTGCAGTAATTTCCTATTGTATTGCTATATACACAGCAAATACAGAGGGCTTTTCCCTCTTGTTCGCATTTCTCAAAGTCCTTTCACAGCCATTTTACATTTTATAACCCTGGTTACACAGAGTTGTATAAAGAAGAATTTTACCAATTTCCATGCTACCAGAAATATAGGGTAAAATATGTCCCTTATAACTTATTGATATTATTTTATCATATTTTCTTAAGTTTGGCCACCATAAAACAACTAGTATTTGCTTAGGTGAGCATTTACTTAATTCTTATCTTTACTAACCTCAGAAACTTACAGCAGAATATTAAATTCAAACTTTGTATGTATTCAATTTTAAGTTATATGAAGTTTTATATTTTATTCTAAGTTTTCCAATATTTCAATAAGCATTTAGTATTCCTACTCATATCCTTAGGTCTTCTCTTTTTTCCTTATCAAGTTTTTTTTCCCTAAGCTGTAATAATTTGTTTGCACTGTGTGCTAACATAGAATATTGACAAGAGCCATAATATATTGAGAAATATATAAGGAAGTCACATAATATGTTATTTTTAAAAGACTATTAGGTTTTTTGAAAATGAAATCATAATTTGCATAGTCTAGGGTGAGAGCAAAGAATATTAGAGAATGGAAAAAAATCATCATAATAATGTAACTAGAGGAAAAACAAGTTTTAAGAGTTTTTAGCTATCACAGTCCCATGAACTCTGATGGGCATTGTGATTATTGTTCTTATTGCTGGAAAAAAAGATAGCAATAATTGCCTTGTATTTTCTTTTGGCAGATGGTATATTGTTCTCTGACAGAGTTCCAAAAAGCTGTCTATCAAACAGTGTTAGAAACCGAAGATGTGACTTTGATACTTCAGTCTTCTAAGCCTTGCACCTGCAACAGTGGCCGCAAAAGGAGAAGTTGTTGTTATAAGGCAAGTATTTCAGCATCATATCTTTACAACATCTTGTTTTTGCTAACCCAGAACTCTGCACTAGGGTCAAAGTAAGTGCAAAATAATAAAATAACTGTTCCTCAAGTAGGTTTTTAATTTTAGATACTACAGTTATTTTTTAAAAAGGAACGGTTTTCAAAAGTATTTTGTAATATCTGAGACTGGCATTGTGGCATGGTGGGTGGAGCCTCTATCTGCAATGTCAGCACCCCATTTGGGCTCAGGTTCATGTCCCAGCTGTTCTACTTCTGTTCCGGCTCCCTGCTAATGGCCTGGGAAATGCAGCACAAGATGGTCCAAATCCTTGAGCCCCTGCCGCCTGCATGGGAGACCTGTGGGAAGCTCCTGGCTCCTGGCTTTGGCCTGGTCCAGCTCTGGCCATTGCAGCCATCTGGGGAATGAACTAGCAGATGGAGACCTCCCTCTCTCTCTCCCTCTCTTTCTCTTTCTCTTTTTCTTTTTCTCTTTCTTTCTTCCTCTCCCTCTCCCTCTCCCTCTCTCTGTAACTCTGACTTTGAAAATAAATAAATAAATCTTTAAAAAACATTTTATGATATCAGATGGGAACCATATATAAAATACAATATTCAAATATATTTTCAAAGGTCAATCTTAGAAAGTAAGCTTCAATTTCATATTCTTTCTTTCAGCTTTTATTGGGAAACAACATAATCTCATCTTCAAATTTCATTTCATTTTCAGGGAGTTTCTCATTATTCACTAATAGTAAGTTAACTTCCTCTTGGAGGACAGGCTTAAAACACTCATATTACTTCTGACATTAGGTATCATGTCAATTTAATAGAAACTGTGTGCCAGTAGAATTAAAAAGTTCTTAAGAATTGATATATTTTGGCCGGCGCCGTGGCTCAATAGGCTAATCCTCCACCTAGCGGCACCGGCACACCGGGTTCTAGTCCTGGTCGGGGCACCGGATTCTGTCTTGGTTGCCCCTCTTCCTGGCCAGCTCTCTGCTGTGGCCCGGGAGCGCAGTGGAGGATGGCCCAAGTGGTTGGGCCCTGCACCCCGTGGGAGACCAGGAGAAGCACCTGGCTCCTGCCTTTGGATCAGTGCAGTGCACCGGCCGCGGCGGCCATTGGAGGGTGAACCAACGGCAAAGGAAGACCTTTCTCTGTCTCTCTTTCACTGTCCACTCTGCCTGTAAAAAAAAAAAAAAGAATTGATATATTTGTACTCTTTTATTATCTGTCATATATTCATGTACACAGAAGGACCCTGAGTAAATGTTTCTCTAGACTGATGTTCATTCCATTGCATTTGTTTTGGAGCAGCCCAGAGACCTAGGAAACCTTGGAGCAAGGGTGAGAGGAAGGAGGAAAGGGGTCCGTGTGGCGCTGGCGCTGCCGTTGCACTGTAGAGTTTTGCTGCCAGGTGCCCTTCCTGACACCATGTCTGCCACTGTGGGTCGTGGTCATAAATGCTTTATAGAATGAGGACGTTCTCCCCTTTTGTAATGCGAAACATCATTGAATTATGATTAACCGAAATGATTCCACACTAGTGAGCCATCGTTTTCTTAGAATTCTTTGTGCCAAAAGTAACGGGATACTGAATGTCACCGTGATGCGCTTTGTGAGGAAAGCAGCTGCTTAGCCGCTTTAGTCCTGTTCTTATTTCTGTCTCCCGCCTCTTCCTCCTGCAGACCAATTCCCGCGGTGACGAGGTGAAGACCTTGTGCCTCAGCTACCTCACGGTCCTTCAGAAGGTGGCCAATCACGTGGCCCTGCTGCAGGCTGCTAGCACCTCCAAACAGGTTCGCCATTTTTGTACCTCTCCGTAGGACGCTCTCGATGTGAATATCTTACGTTTGGTATAAAATTTCCCAACCAAGTATCCTGAAGACTTTTTGTGCGTGAACTGTAACTGTAAGGGCAAACTGATTTGCTTGCTTTAAATTTAGGTGTCAAAGTACACTCACTTAAGTTCATGATCAAATTGGGAAAAATTAAGCTTGAAGTAAAATAATAGCTGTTTTATACCTCTAATAATATTCTTGTGCTTACTTTCCCTTGTATCCTGTGGTGCAATTATTCAATAAGATATTTGATGTGAATCCTATTCCAATTACAATGTGTCTGATTATACTAATCTAACCTACTTGGGAAAATGAGAACTGTAATAATCTGTATATTAAATGTTAGGCCTGTTTCCCAAAGTGGCATTTAATTTCAAAATTTCAATTTAAATGCAGTTATTTACTTTGGTGTATTATTCTACAGTACAATATAAATAAAAAGGTCTTTTAAGAATTTATTTATTTGAAAATCAAATTATACCAAGAGAGGGAGAGAATCTTCCATCTGCTGGTTCACTCCCCAGATGGCCACTACAGCTGGGACTGGGCCAGGCCAAAGCGAGGAGCCTGGAGCTTCTTCCAGATCTCCCACATGGGTGACAGGGGCCCAAGCACTTGGGCAGTCTTCTGCTGCTTTTCCTAGGCAACCAGCAGGGAGCTGGATCAGAATTGGAGCAGCCAGAACATGAACTGGCACCCATGTAGGATGCTGGCACTGCAGGCTGCCTGTTTTGCCACAACACCAGCCCCAAAAGTCTTTTTTAAAGTCTTTTGTTATAATGATTTCATATTTTATTTTTGTGTGACAGTTGATGCCTTTTAAGTGTAATTTTGAAATGTAATAACAATTTAATACTGTTATTTGATATTAATCTTAACTCTTTTGGGAGTATTTGTTTTGGAAATCTGAAAAAAAGTAATGATAAGGTTACTACCCCATATCACTAAGAACTTATCAAAGACATTTATGTCTGGGCCTGGCACTGTGGCGCAGTAGGTTAATTCTTAGCCTGTGGGGCCAGCATCCCACATGGGCACCGATTGGAGACCCAGCTGCTCCACTTCCAATCCAGCTCTCTGCTATGGCCCAAGTCCTTGGGCCCCTGCACCTGCATGGGAGACCCGGAAGAAGCTCCTGGCTCCTGGCTTTGGATCAGGGCAGCTCTGGCTGTTGCGGCCACTTGTGGAGTGAAACAGCGGACAGAAGACCTTTCTTCTCTCTATCTCTCCCTCTCACTGTCTGTAACTACCTCTCAAATAAATAAATAAATAATCTTTAAATAAAAAAGACATATATGTCTAACTTATCCCAAAATTTTTTGTTTTTATTCTGACTTAGAGAAGATGTAATCCTCAAAGTAATAGATTCCTTCTAGTTAGAAATATTTCTTCATAAAAAATTTTGACTTATGTATATTCTGTGTTAGATTGAAATCTCTTTTCTTCTACCATTTCCTTTCAAGGAGACACTTATCAAAAGGATATGTGATCAAGTATTTTCGAAATTCCCAGATTTTGTGCAGAAAAGCAAAGATGCAGCCTTTGAAACACTTTCTGACCCTAAATACAGTGGGAAGATGAAGGTAAGAGCTCCTCTTTCAGGTTGTGTACAGCCAGGGATAACGGACAAGATGTTTACCCACGGTAGTCATGTGGTAGGGACACCAGGGCATCAGAACACGTGGTGATTCATTCAAAAGAGACAGAGGCAGTGGACAGCTGGTGCAGTTAGGTCAGCATTCCCTGGCTCACCGTGAACCCTGCATTCAGGTGCGTGCATGAAGGAGTTTCTCAGCCGTAGTTACATCAAGTGCACGTCAGACTTTCCTTTTTGATGTATTGCCCTCTTATAATGTTGGCTGTTATCTCATGCATCAGAGTTTGTCCTCAGAAAAGGAAAATGACCTACCAGAAATGTAAGTGCTGATGTGAAATTGGAGGGCATTTAGGAGTTCTATTTCTAGACGGAGTTTTCTGCTTCTAGTATTTTCTTGCCATTCTTGGTTGTAAGGTTGCAAAGGGACTTTGGTTCCGTTTAGGGCAACTGGCCCCTGGGTGCTGGCTGCGACAGCAGCACAGCCAGCCTCCTTGTAACAGAATGAGCTTGCTTAACCGCTTAATAACAATCGAAAACCTTTGTTTATGGATTGACGGTTCTACACAACAATTTCCAACTTTATGTCAGAGTTAAGAGAAAGGTAAATTTTTTTGACAAAAGGGATAAAAAGGAAGTAATTGAAAATAGTCAGTTTTTGTTTTTCCTTATAATTCTGACATACTTTTTTCAGTTAATGTAGGAAAACTTATCATGGTTTAGTTTGCTTGAGACTTACAAATTCAGTGAAATAAAGTTGAAAGTGAGACTAGAAATAGTAAAAATAATAACATTAAAATGTGTATTTTTTAAAGAAATAAGTTTGTATTAATGAGAATGACATATGATTTACTATTAAAACAAGTGCTTCGAATCCAGTATTTCCTAACAATAAGTCTGTTTAACTTCAATCTGTTGACTTCTAATTATTTTTAAATCTAAATATGTAAAAAAAGCCCAGTTAGTTTAGAACTGACCACTTACTATCCCATCATTTAAGCCAATAGAATATTTACAGTCCTTGTGGCCTCCTTGGAAAACTGCATTATCCTTTGCTGCTCATTTAAATTTTATTGCTTATGACTCTTCACCAAAAAATTACCAGTGTTATAAGTCCACATTATATATATCCTTTAAAGATAAGGGTTTTTAAAAAAATTTTATTTTATTCATTTGAAAGACAGAGTTATGGAAAGAGAGAGGGAGAGATGGAGAGAAGGTCTTCCATCCACTGTTCGCACCCCAGATGGCCACAACGGCCAGGACAAAGCCAGGAGCCAGGAGCTTCAGCCAGGTCTCCAATATGGGTACAGGGGCCCAAGGACTTGGGCCATCTCCCACTGCTTTTCCAGACACATTAGCAGGGAGCTGGGTCAGAAGAGGAACAGTCAGGACTCGAACCAGGGCCCATATAGAATGCTAGCGTCACAGGTGGTGGCTTGACTTACTACCCTACAATGCCACCCCTAAAGATAAATTTGAAAACATACTATTAACTAGTTATAACATAATTTTGGTTATAGTTTTAGACATAGGCAAGATAGTATCTGATTAAGATAATTAATAGACTTAATTTTTGAAAAATTATTTATTTATTTGTTTTATTTGAAAAATTATTTATTTACTTGTATGAGAAAGCACTCCTATACCCTGGTTTACTCCCCAGTGCCCAGAAGCCAGGAACTCAGTCTAGGTTTTCCGTGTGGGTGGCAGGGACCCAGCTACTTGAGCCATCCCTGCTACCTCCCAAGGTCTGCATTAGCAGGAAGCTGGAGTCAGGAGCTGAGACAGGGCTTGAAGGCAAGCACTCCACTATGGGGTACAGGCAACCTAACTGTTAAACCAAATGCCCACCCCTATGTTCAGCTATTATTCTGATTTTTAGAATGGAAAAAGTAATCATTAATTGATGTGGGATGCTTTACATGTGAAGGAAGCAGGTACTTTTCTTACTCTGTGAGACAGCACCAGGAAAACCAAGATCACTAGTAATATGCTAGGGATCTATTTTTCGTATTGTATTTCATCATTTGGTTAGCAAAAATCATCTGGCAAACCATTGCTTTGGTAATCCAAAACCCACAGTCTTGCAGAATTTTGGCCTCTGAGTTTAAGAATGCCAAGTAGGCCGGCGCCGCAGCTCACTAGGCTAATCCTCCACCTGCGTCGCTGGCACCCTGGGTTCTAGTTCCAGTCGGGGCGCCAGATTCTATCCCGGTTGCGCCTCTTCCAGGCCAGCTCTCTGCTGTGTCCTGGGAGTGCAGTGGAGGATGGCCCAAGTGGTTGGGCCCTGCACCCCATGGGAGACCAGGAGGAAGCACCTGGCTCCTGGCTTCGGATCGGCGCAGTGCGCCAGCCATAACGCTCTGGCTGTAGCGGCCACTTAGGGGGATGAACCAACAGAAAAAGGAAGACTTTCTCTCTCTCTCTCTCTCTCTCTCTCTCTCTCTCTCACTCTCTCTCTCACTGTCTGACTGTCAAAAAATTAAAAAAAAAGAATGCCAAGTAACTGGGGCTGGCACTGTGGTGTAGTGGGCTAAAGCCTCTGCCTATGGTGCCATCATCCCATGTGGATGCTGGTTCAAGTCCCTACTCCTCTTCCAGTCCATCTCTCTCCATGGCCTAAACCCAGAAGAAGCTCCTGGCTTCAGATCGGCACAGCTCTGGTCGTTGTGGCCATTTGGGAAGTGAACCAGCAGATGGAAGACCTCTCTCTCTCTCTCTCTCTCTCTCTCTCTTTCTCTCTCTCTGTCTCTCCCTCTCTCTCTCTGTGACTCTACCTCTCAAATAAATAAATGAAATGTTTAAAAAACTGTACTTTCTGAATTCAGGTGATCAAAATTCCTGGTTCTTGTCTTAGCATAGGTCCGGCCACAGCTGCAAGAACTCTGTGAGCGTAATTCCTCTTGTAACCTTCACAGCCTCAAAGCCACACTCATGACCCTGCTCTTTCTCCTGAGTGTCAAGGTCACTTTTGACCTCAACTACTGGTCTAGGGGTAGTCACAAGTAGCATTCTTTCACCTAATAAGAATCCTCGGTTTTCTTTCCTTTGTGGAAATGCCATTTAACCGCTTACTATGAGGGCAGGGAGTGGAACAAAACAATAGCCTAGAAAACCTAATGCAGCATGGTTGGAATCACACAAGGGTCACGTTCATCTTTTGAGGCCTTTCTAAGTTAACAAAAGTTAGATGGAAGATGCCTTTGCCACAAACGTCTCTGAATGTAGGGTTCTTTACAGCTGAGTTGCCCTGTTCTGTGGAGGACAACTAAGTGATAAGGCAGCAGATCTGAAGCCGACTCTGATGTGTATTGACCATATTGTCATTTTTGAAGGAAATTTCTTATTAGGGATCTTAATTTATAGTTACTCATTGATTGTTTCTTTAAACTAGCCTAATAATGCCATCAGACTAAAAACACGTTTTTTGTTACCTGGTTTTGCTTTTAATAGAAAATATTTGAAAATTATCTAAAATTACAATAGGTATTATACTACCCCAGATAATGAGAGTGAATTTCTGTTCAACTTATCATTGATTGATTTTTAAAAAAGATTTATTTATTTATTTGAAAGTCAGAGTTACAGAGAGAGAGAGAGAGAGAGAGGTCTTCCATCCGCTGGTTCACTCCCCAATTGGTTGCCATGGCCGGAGCTGCACCAATCCAAAGCCTGGAGGCAGGAGCTTCTTCTGAGTCTCCCACGTGGGTGCAGGGGCCCAAGGTCTTGGGCCATCTTCCACTGCTTTCCCAGGCCATAGGAGAGAGTTGGATTGGAAGTAGAGCAGCCGGGACTCAAACTAGCGCCCATATGGGATGCCAGCACTGCAGGCAGCGGCTTTACCCACTACGCCACAGCACTGACCCCATCATTAATTTAAAAGCTGAATGTTTTTAAGAGAATGAAAGTGAAAAGACAAGCCACAGACTTGGAGAAAATATTTGCAAAACAGTAAAAGACTGATATCCTACATAATATAGAGACTCTTAAAACTCAACAATAAGAAAACAAACAACAGAATTTTAGAATGGGTAAAGGGTGAACAGATACCTCACCAGAAAAGACATGCCCATGGCAAATAAGCATATGCTAAATGAAACAGCAATGAGATTCTACAACATACCTTCTAGAATGACCAAAATCCAAAACATCAGTGATACAAAATGCTGTTGAGGGGTGGGGCAACAGGAGCTCTTATTCACTACCAGAGGGGATACAAAACGGCACAGTCACTTTGGAAGACAGTTTTGTGGTTTTTCAGAAAGCTCTTACCTTCAGTACTCTTGATATTAAATATTTAAAGTTAAATATTAAAAATATCACCTTGGATATTCTTAACATTTGACCCAGCAGTCACCCTCCTTGGAATTTACCCAACTGAATCAAATTTTAATGAGTTTTAGTGAGTTGAAAAATATGTCTGCACCAGGACCTTAGATGTGTTATTCATAATTGTCAAAGCTTAGAAGGCCCCACAATGTTCTTCAGCAGATAAGTAGATAAACAAACTGATAGGGTAACAATAAAAAGAAATGAGCTATCAAGCTATGAAAAGACATAGAACGGCCGGCGCTGCGGCTCACTAGGCTAATCCTCCGCCTTGCGGCACCAGCACACCAGGTTCTAGTCCCGGTTGGGGCGCCAGATTCTGTCCCGGTTGCCCCTCTTCCAGGCCAGCTCTCCGCTGTGGCCAGGGAGTGCAGTGGAGGATGGCCCAAGCGCTTGGGCCCTGCACCCCATGGGAGACCAGGAGGAGCACCTGGCTGACTCCTGCCTTTGGATCAGTGCGGTGTGCCGGCCGCGGCGGCCATTGGAGGGTGAACCAACGGCAAAAGGAAGACCTTTCTCTCTGTCTCTCTCTCTCTCTCTCACTGTCCACTCTGCCTGTCAAAAAAAAAAAAAAAAAAGACATAGAAGAACCTTGCTTGCATACTGCCAAGTGAAAGAAGCCAGTTTAAAAACACTATGTGATTCCAACTGTATGATACTCAGGAAAAGGAAAAGCGATAAAGACAGTAAAAAGATCAGGGATTACCAGGAATTCTGGGGAGGAAGAATATAGAGGTGAAACACATGGCATTTTTAGGGCAGTGAAACTGCTCTGTATGATATTGTAGTCATGGATCCATGCCATTATACGTTTGTCAAAACCCATAAAACTATATAACACAATGAGTGAACCCTAATGTAAACCATGAACTTCACTTAATAATGTATCAGTATTAGCTCATCAATTGTCACAAGTATTTTAAACATCATAAATGACATATTTTCTAATACTATTATTCTACAGATATTACTAGGAGAACATTTGCAGAAGGGACAGAAGTGGGGGACGAAGAGTTGATGCGAATTTTCTGTATTTCCTATTCAAATTTGTGAACTTAAAGTCTGTCATTTCAAGTTAATGTCTTATGTGAAATTCAGATGCACATACTTCACATAGAATCAGTTAATTAAAAAATGCAGCTAAATGCAAATAAAACGGATGTGACATGTTTTCCAGATATTGAAATGTTTATCTGGGCTGTGATACTTTTATTCACCAATTGATTGGTTTTTCTGAGTAGTTTTGTTTTTTTTTTTTTTTTTTTAATGCTACAAGATGTTTTTCAAGGGATTGGGGGTTAGGGGTCAAAGTTAGCACAATGTCTTTTCTTGTTCATCTATTAAGAGAGTGTTATATTGGGTATAATTTTTTTACTTAAAAGTGTGTTTACCATTGGATAAATAAAATTGCTTAAGTGTTTGTTTCATACTTCAGAAGACTTCAGTGGAGGGAATTCCTCTTTCCCTCTGTGGATTGCCTTCCTCGGTGTTCTGGAGCTGCCATTGCCAGATGTGGAATTGCCTGTTTAAAATAACAGTGTTACTGTTAGACACAGGGCTTTGGACTGTTTGTTTCCCCCTTAAAAGCACCATGTGTGGGGGAAGATTACTGGCATTTCAAGGTCAAAATCAAATCTGGGAGTCAGGGCTTACTGTAAATAGAGAAACAGAGAGGAGAAAATGAGAAGAGGTGTATATCTGACTGATTATTCTAAGAAAATAAATATCAAGACTTGTAGACCCTAAATGCAATTGAACACATTTCATTGCATCCATCTCGAGACAATTTAAATACTTCCTAAAAGGTATGCAGCTCTATAATTCAGGTTTTTAAAAAACATGTTGTAGTATAAAAAAAAAAGTGTATTTTGGAAATTAAATTAATCCACTTAAATGCATCCCACAGTCGAAAATGCTTCCTTTTTATTAAAACCAGATGAGATGAAATAAGTCTTTGGGAACTTTACCTCCTTATTGACAGCATGATGATGAATAACATTTAATGTAACATCTGATACTTTGTTTCTCTGACAGAAAAAGTAAAAGGAATTAGAAAGGATGGTTGAGGTTAGTGTTGTACGAAACAGTTTTTAAGAGATTCTGCAGTAATGTTCTGTGTCTAAGGTATGCTTTTCGCCGGAACTGGTTCACTGATGTGCTGGGGTTCACTTCCAGGTCCTTCAGCAGCTTCTGAATCACTGCAGGAGGAACAGGGATAAAGTTCTCCTCTTCTCCTTCTCCACCAAGGTAAGTGTGCGCCGAAGTGGATCCTGGCCTGGCCAGCTCTCCCTTTAGAGGCAGGAAGCGTGCACGCACAGTCGCATTTTCTGTCTTCTCCGCGTGGCAGCGAACAGTAGTGAGGTAAGCAGCTTGCAGTTGTTCAGACAGACACTTAAATCCCCATTGCCGTTAGGGTCGCTAATCAGAGAGCAAACTCAAAGACCGCTTCTGGTTTTCCGTTGATGTTCTTGTTCATCATTAAAGTGTTCTCTACGCCATTTAAGATAGGGGCAGACAGAAATTAGCACACACGATAAAGAATATTTACATAAATGATTTCACTGATAATTTCTTTTTGTTTGGTTTCTTTTAAAAAGTGAAATCTCAATTTCAAAAGGTGTTTATGGTAGAGGAGTAGGGAGAGAGAGAGAGAGAGAGAGAGAGAGATCTATTGACTGGTTTAATCCCCAAATGCCTACAATAGCTGGGGCTAGGTCAGGCTAAAACCAGAAGCTGGAAATTAAAATAGGTCTCTCACATGGGTGGCAAAGACCCAACTGCTTGTGTTGCTGTCACAACAGCTAGGTTGTGCCAGGCTGAAGCCAGGAGCCAGAAGCTTCTTCTGGGTCTCCCACATGGGTTTAGGAGCCCAACTACCTGAGCCATCTTCCACTGCTTTCCTAGGCACATTAGCAGGGAGCTGGATTAGAAGAGGAGCAGCCGGGACTAGAACCGGCGCCCATATGGGATGTCGGCGTTGCAGGCAGCAGCTTAACCTGTTATGCCACAGGCCAGCCCCTCACCCTGGAGTTTTAAAAGCAAATTGCTGCCGGCGCCGCGGCTCACTAGGCTAATCCTCCGCCTAGCGGCGCCGGCACACCGGGTTCTAGTCCCGGTCGGGGCGCCGGATTCTGTCCCGGTTGCCCCTCTTCCAGGCCAGCCCTCTGCTGTGGCCAGGGAGTGCAGTGGAGGATGGCCCAGGTGCTTGGGCCCTGCACCCCATGGGAGACCAGGAGAAGCACCTGGCTCCTGGCTCCTGCCATCGGATCAGCGCGGTGCGCCGGCCGCAGCGCGCCAGCCGCGGCGGCCATTGGAGGGTGAACCAACGGCAAAGGAAGACCTTTCTCTCTGTCTCTCTCTCACTGTCCACTCTGCCTGTCAAAAATAAAAAATAAAAAATAAAAAATAAAAAAAGCAAATTGCTGAATAAGAAAGCCAGCTTCAGTACAATAGAAAGAAATATATGGATCAGACATGAGAAAAATATTTATTTCTCTTGGAATTACAAGAAAGCAATTGTGAGCAACAATAATGACTGTTTTATAAATCTAACTCTGTAATGGTGTGCAATGTGCAACCGAGACCTCGTGTTTGCCCATCTCCGTGCCTTTGCTCTAGTTGCTGGATGTGCTGCAGCAGTACTGCATGGCGTCTGGCCTTGATTACCGCCGGCTTGATGGAAGTACGAAGTCCGAGGAGAGGCTCAAGATCGTCAAAGAGTTCAACAGCACACAGGACGTTAACATCTGCCTTGTCTCTACAATGTAAGAGAACACAACTGGGCTATCCAGTTGTTTTTAAGATCCAGGATCATGTTTTGAACTATTACTGAGTTAATTTTCAGCGGTTAGACAGACACAAGTATTGCTTTGTTGTATTTGGCTTTAAGGAGAAGCAGCGAAACTGCTGTTCTGACTAAAATAGCAACATCTTGAGTTTTTCACCTAATCTTCTCTCTCATTTCTTTTATCATTGAATTCTCCCTCTAAGTCTGGTTCTATAAAGTAACAATTAAAGAAATGGGTATTTCTGCCTAGGAATTTTCTGTGGTATTTTAAGAATTTTTTATTTTATTAAAATTATCACTTATCAATATTAAATTATTATTATTAAAAATTTTACTATTTTATTTAAAAGGCAGAGTAACTGGGTGGGAGGAGGGGGGGGAGAGAAAGAAAGAAAGAAAGAGGGATCAATCATCTGGTTCACTCCCCAAGTAGCTTCAACAGCCAGATCTGTACCAGGCCAAAGGCAGGAGCCAGGAACCTCATCCAGGTCTCCCACATGGGTGGCAGGGGCCCAATCACTTGGGCCATGTTCTGCTGCTTTGGGGCATTAATAGGGGGAGCTGGATCTAAAGCAGAACAGCCGGGACTCGAACCCTCCACTATGGGATGCTGGTGTCACAAGAGACAGCATAGCCACTTCGCCCTAAGCCAAGCCCTTCCATAGACTTTTGAAGTCCTCTCGTGTTAATCAGACAACTGAATCATCTAGCAGCTTGGGGACCGGTCCCCGAGGGCACACTGGGCCTTGCGTTTCCCCCACAGCCTCTACCTTGTCTCAACTGAAACAGCCCCCAGTTAGAGATTGTATAAAAGGTACATTTATGAATTTACCTTTCTATGAACCTCTAATTAAAACCTTTTAAAGAATATAAACACTTTAGAGGAAGACTTAAATTAGTGTAAACACCTAAAAAAGAGTAATCCCTTTTTGCATAACAAATCCATAACTTTGGACATTTTATGTAATTAAGAATTTTGTGGATTCACTTTCACTTCCTTTCAAAAAGAAACTTAAAAAGCACAAAATTAAAGTTAAATAAGAACAAAAAATAAGTTTAAATGAAGAATAATATATCTTTATAATGAGCGGCCAAAGCTGATTGAATTCAAGAATTTCTCACATAAGTCCTTACATGCAGAGTGGTACATGACTTAAAAGACTGTCTTTAATTCAGTTTTGTAAAATACTCATAGCATTCTTAATTTTAAAATAATATGTTTCAAAGGACTATATGCATTAAACACCAGTTCAGATAGTACAGCACACGCAGACAGCAGTGGTCTCCCTCCTCCTCCGCTCACCTCCAGGCCGGTCGGCTAAGATCAGCTGTAAAGCTCCTGAGTCTCTTTCCATCTGTGTCTTCTAAAAATTGTTGTTTAACCCATTCTTTGATTTTTTAAATTAGTTTATTTATTTGAAAGGCAGAGTGACAGAGAGAGAGAGAGATCTTCCATCTGCTGATTCACTCCCCAAATGGCCTCAACAACCAGGTGCAGGTTAGGCCAAAGCCAGGAGCAGAGAATTCCATCCTGATCTCTCATGTGGGTGGCCGGGACCCTAGTACTTGGGCCATCTGCTGCTTTCCCAGGCACATTAGCAGGAAGCTGGATGGGAAGCAGAGAAACAGGAACTTGAACCAGCACTCTGGTATGGGCTGCTGGCATCTCAAGTGGAAGCTTGACTCTGCGCCACAGCACTGGCCCCATCCTTTGAATTTAATTTTTAAAGACTGTACTTTTTATTTTTAGAAGTCCTGTTTGAATTCTTCAAATCTCCCTGATCACTTTACTAGCTTTTCTTTTATTTCTTTAATTTTTAATCATATTTTAAAGAAGTCTTAATGCATTTTTGCTCTGCAAATGTGAACTCCTGCTACCTGGGCTTGCTAATCCTTATTCTTTATTGTTTCCTCTGATTCTTGTTTGGAACATTTGGGCTCTTCACATGGTTTATAGTGTTTTTATTTGTGCTTTGTCTTCACTGGGGCCTTCCTGCTCTGTGGAAATCCTTTGGAGACCACTTACTAGGAGTTTTCCACTAGTTTAGTTTTGTGTTCCTTTCTCCTAGGCATCTAGACCAAGAATGGGGAAGAAGTTTTGGATTCCTATTTTCCTGTGACTGAATTAAGAGCTTTATAGAATAAGCACATTCTTCTGCTATGTTTTAGAAAAGATACATAATCTCAATGGTTTTTTTTTTTTTTTGCCTTGCTCATTTTACATTGTTTATGTATAATTTCTGTTGTTACAGAATTATTTTCACACTGGCTACACCATTACTTTGCCAGAATACTGAATCTTCACGATCTTTTCATTCGTTAACATTATACAGCTGGAATCTCCGTTAACAAAGAGGAAGAGTTTCACGACTCTCTACCCTCTTCCTCACGCATTCACTACTTTTGTCTACAAGCTACTTTTCAGACTTTGAATCAGTGTTCTTCACTGCGTCCAGCTTTCCTGGACTCCTGCCATCTGCATTCTCGGTTGCCCCCATTTCACTGGAAACCATTGAATTTGTAACGTTTGGTGCATCAACTTCCCATTTATCTTCTAAGTCCTTTGTGATGTGCGATGTTGGATCCACCCTTTCTTCTGCATTTTTCTACTTCTGTCCTACAGTAGTGCTAAGGTGACTTCTCTGAACATTCATGACCTTTTGACCACGTCCAGTTTTAACATCAGCCTCAAATGAGTTCTCTTTTCCAGCAATTCACCCACTGTTTACGTTTGCACAGTTGAGTTCATTTCCATGATTTGGTCATGACTTTCTTACTTGATTTTTTGGCTTCATAATAATCAATTCTGCCCCTTATAAGATAATCCTTGATATATTATGAATTCTCTTTGCCATCTTCTCTTCCCCTAAGTCCTCTGTACCCTGCAGCCATTCCTTCTGAAACCTTTTATCTTCTGGACTGGTTATCTTCAGGCCTGATGAAAAACTATCATACTGAGGCTTTCTTTCACTGTGTTTCTACACGGGTCCTTTCGCTGAATTCCATGCCGTCTTCAGTCTCGGCTTGCTTCCTTGTTTTCCTGAAAAATATCCTCTAGTAACTTTGTAAGCCAAGGTGTCTTGTGAGTACACCTTCTGGAACCTTGAATAAAGTAAATAACTTTTATGGCTCTCATAATGAAGTGATACTTTGGCAAATCATAGAAGTCTAGATTGAAAATCATTTGCTCTCAGATCTTTGAAGGCAATATAGTGTTTAGTTTTGCTAAGTACTTGTCAAATGTCTGTTGGGAATTGGTAAGTTTTTCTTCACCTGTGGTATTCTGAAGTTTCACGGTGATGCTTGTGTCTTAATGTAGGTCTTTGTTCATTTATTGTGCTGGGCACAATCTTGAAGGTTTGTGTTCTTTTTCAACTCTGGGAGATTCTCTTTTATTATGTCACTAATAAGAGCTTTCTTTTCTTCCATTTCCTCTGGTCTTCTGTCTTGCACGTTGTCAGATTTTTAGAACTCTTATCTTGGTTCTTTAAATCTTTGAACTTTTCTCTCATATTTTAGATTTTGTCTTTTTGTTCTATGCTCTGATAAATGTTATTTCCCAATTTTATTGATTATTTTATTTGAAATAATCACATTTTTCATCTAAAATTTTTCTAGCTTTCTGAGCTTTTTTTGTTTTCTTTCTTTTTTTTTTTTTTTTTATTTGATAGAGGAGAGAGAGTTCTACTCCACTGGGATGAGAGTTCCCCTAATGCCCACAACAGCTAGCGCTGGGCCTGGGGCTCAACCTGGGAGACAGGAACACCTTCCAGCTCTGCCACATGGGTTGCAGGAACCCGATGACTTGAATCACTGCTGCTGCCTCCTAGGATGTGCACTGGTAGGAAGCTGAAGTCAAGAGCAGAGCCAGGAATTGAACCCAGGCACCCCAGTACACGGGCTTCTCCACCAGTCTTACCTGCCACGCTAAACAAATTCCTGCTTCTCTTTTGTTTTCTAAATTACCTTTATTGTGAAACATCAACATCTTAAAGCTTAGTTCTCTGTAATCATTTCATTTGATTTATTTGACAAAAGGTCATCTGACGCTTTTCCTAGAGTTGAAACTTTTTCTTGACATCACTGAATTTCTGAGTGCCTCTGAGGAGAATTGGTATTTTGGTGATATTAGGACTTTTATCCATGCACATGGTATCTCTTTACATTATTTTGGCTTTCTCAGAAAAATTGTCTAAAGTGTGCTTCATTTGACTCCCTGTGATACTTTGTACATAACAATAAAACTTAATTGATTAAAGACGTTTTTGTGGAACATTAAGATATAGTTAAAGTATACTTTTTTTTTTTTTTAAGATTTATTTATTTATTTGAAAGGCAGAGTTACACAGAGAGAGGTGAGGCAGAGAGAGAGAGGTTTTCCATCCAGTTGTTCACCCTCCAGATGGCTGCAACAGCCGGAGCTGTGCCAATCCAAAGCCAGGAGCCAGGAGCCTCTTCCTGGTCTCCCCCGTGGGTGCAGGTGCAGGTGCAGGGGCCCAAGGACTTGGGCCATCTTCTACTGCTTTCCCGGGCCCAGGCCATAGCAGAGAGCTGGACAGGAAGTGGAGCAGCCAGGTCTCGAACCAGCACCCATATGGGATGCCGGCACTTCAGGCCAGGGCTTTAACCCACTGTGCCACAGCACCGGCCCCTAAAGTATACTTTTTGTTATACTTAGAGCTATGCATTGCTTAGTGATGGGGATACATTCTGAGAAATGTGTCATTAGACAATTTTGTCATTAGTTGTACATCATAGTTACACAGCTCTAGGTGGTATAGGTCCATCATCCAACGTGGCCTCTTGGTGCAAACAGGAGGCGCAGCAAACACAAGCTGTGTGTGGCTGCTCCCTACATACGTGAGGTGCAGTTTTCAGGAAACTTCTTTTTTCAATAAATAGAAAGGATGTACTGTAAAATAACAATAATAATGTCATAAACACAGAAACCAGTAACATGGTTGTTTGTTGCCATTA